CACACACACACACACACACGCACACACACACACGCACACACGCACACACACACACACACACACGCACACTCACACACGCGATTGCCCCTCCCTCACCCGTCCTCTCCCACGAGCCTCAAGCCACCTTCAACCCTTACCACCGCCACTCACCCCATGACCCCAGGGCGTAATCCACCGCGACCTGAAGCCGGCCAACATCTTCTACGACAGCCAGGGCCAGGTCAAGCTGGGGGACTTTGGTGAGTCACCCGAGTCACCCGAGTCACCCGAGTCAGGACCCTCCTCGGGCCGCCTGGCTGTCAGCAGAGCTCAGGCCTTGGCAGGCGCGGGCGCTGCCGGCTGCGAGGCGACTGCGCGGATGCGAACTGCTGGGGTCCTGAGATGCCCGTATTGCAGCGTCTGGGCATGTGTGGGAGTGAAGCAGGCAGATGCGACACCCCCAGGAATGTTCTGCAATTTGTGGGCTTCTCAGCATCGACTGCCCCACGTCGCTCCTGTGTCGGCGACCTTGGCGCACCGATGGCGCTGCCGTGAGCCGCCTTGGGGCCTGAAACAGGGCGCCACCCCCTCCCCTGCCGCCCCTCCCCCTGCCATCCCTGCCGCCCACAGGCCTCGCCAAGTTCAACCACTCAGCCTCTGGCGCCGCCGACGACCCCGCCGCCCCCGGCCTCGGCTCCCCCTCCCACGCCCACCGCAACAGCCATGCGGGCGCCGCCGCCGCCGCCGGCGGCGCGGGCGGGGGGGACCTGCTGGGGGCGGCGGCAGCGGCGGCGGCGGCCAGCGGGACGGCGGGGCCGAGCGAGCGGACGGGTGTGTGTGGCACAAGTTGGTATATCAGCCCCGAGATTGCAAACGGGTGGGCCAGCTACGACGAGAAGGTGAGCGGGCGGGAGATCTGCGGGCGCACCAGGTCTTCACACCTTTGTTACATCTGAAGTGCGCCAGTATGTGCAGAGGTGTTCTGGTGATCTGGCACAGCCCGACAACGGAGCCCGCCGCCACGCCGCTGGCACTCAACTTCAGCTGCCGCTGAGGAGATATTGTCTCCGAAGCGTGCGTGAGACACAGGATGCCGTGCCGCGACCTCTGCAACGAAACAAAAACAGGTCGACCTGTTCAGCCTGGGGGTGGTGTGCTTTGAGCTGTGGCACCCCTTCTCCACCGCCATGGAGCGCGCGCTGCTGCTTCGGGACCTGCGGGAATTCGGACGGCTGCCAGAGGCCTGGGAGGCCAGGCACAGGGAGGTCGCGCGGCTCATCAGGTGCGGCGGCGCCTGCCGTTTTGAATTCTGAATGACTCATAGCGGTCGCTTTGCGTGCACTGGAGGGGTGAGGGCTGAGGGTTGCTCACCTGTTGATTTGGACACGGCTTTCGACCATGCCGGCCACCAAACCTAATGGTAACATGGCCGGCACCACCAAAGTTGTTCATGAGTTTGGATCGGCGGAGCCTAAGCTGCCGTGGCGGGCGTGTGTGGGGCGACAGACTCCAACTTCCCCCATACACCAACACCCCCGAACTGTGTCTGCCTCCTACAGGTGGCTGATGTCTCCGAAGCCCTCTGACCGCCCGTCTGCCCGTGAGGTCTTGAGATCAGATCTCCTCCCGCCCCTTGTGGAAGACGAGCAGCTTAAAGATCTTGTCAGATCTCTGCCCAACAACCCCAGCACCTACGAGAGGGTGGTGGAGGCGATCTTCTCAACGTCGGCTGCATCTGCCTCCTCAGCTGCCGCCGCCGCCGCTGACGTGGACGGCGGGGACGGCGGCGCGTCGGCCGCGGCGACGGGCGGCGGCGGCGGCGGCGGCGGCGCGCTGGGGCCGATGAGTCTGGGGGAGCTGCCTGGGGCGCCCCTGAACGTGCACGTAGACGTGAGGGACGCTGTGACCAGGGTGGCCCGTGACGTCTTCAGGTGGGGGCCGCAACTCGCCCCACGCCCTTCCTCCTCCCTCAGCACACCAGGGGCCGCGAGGCGTGGCCTGGGGCAGCTGAAGTTGTGTTGAAACATCTGGCTGTCCCCGAGCGGCGCATGTGGGGCTTGGGCGACAAATGTCGTCTCAGGAACGTCAGTTGTGAAAGGGCCTTGCACTCCTATGCTCGCAAGCGCCGAGCTGCTGGAGCCCGCTCCTCGTGTCGCTGCAATTGACCCCAGCTGGGACCGTGTGGCCCCGGCCCGCCTTTCACGCGTGCGCAGGGCCCACAGCGCGGTGCCTGTGGCCAGCAATGTCGTGGGCATCGCGCACGCGGGGCTGCCGCGGGACGCGGTGCGGCTGCTCGCGCCCTCCGGAGCACAGATCAGGTGCGGCGCCACCACCAGGCGGAGCGCGGCGCGTCTGCCTCCCCTCTGCGTGCCCGGTCACCGTGTCCTGGGCTGTGTTGCTTTGTCAACGTCCGACAACGCGTCCGATCGGCTTCTCCATACGCCCTGCCCTGCCCTGTGGATCCGCCACCGCCCTGGTCGCCGTTACACATTGCCGGAACCACCGCTCTGCACATCCGTCGTTTGCCCGATGATCGCATAGTGTACCCTCATCGCACCCAAGTAGCGCCACCCCGTTGTCATCACACAACACGGCTCGCACTTTGAAAGCCGCCCCTCCCAAAACAAACACGACCTCCGCCGCAGCCTGCGCTACGAGTCGCGCTACCCCTTTGCAGTCTGGCTGGCTCAGCAGGCCGCCCTCGCCGGCGGCGGCGCGGCGCCGGCCGGGCCGCTGGACAGCATGAGGCGGTACGAGATCAGTCACGTGATGCGGGCGGGCCGCGTGAGGGGCCTGCCCGCCACGTACCTACAGGTGGGGCGGAGCGGGGGGGGGGTCATCGTGCGTTCATCTTGTGGGGTACGCTCTGATTTCCAAGGCGTGATTGTCAGATTATTGGAGTTTGTGGCTCGCGTGACCCCAGCGAAGATTGATAAATGCTGCCTGCCAACGAGACGCCCGCCGGCCGCCGCTCAGTCGCGCGCTCATGCCTGAGCGGTTGCCCTGCTTTCTGTTGCCATCTGCGTCAACTGCCAGGCTGACCTGGACATCGTGGCGCCTGTGGCGGGGGCGGGGGTGGCGGAGCGCACGCTGGCCGAGGCCGAGGTTATCAAGAGCCTAGCACAGGTGGGTGGGGTCCGCAAATGAGGGAGCTTCTTTGTATGTGCGTGCGTGCCCTGTGTGTGTGCCTACATATATGTGTGTGTGTGGGGGGCAAGGGGGGTGGGGGGTGTGGTGTGTGCATTCATCGCCGTGGGTGATGGATGCGGGCCGCGCGTGCGTGCGTTTGCACGTGGTGGCTTGCAGCAGGTGCTGGCTACAATGGGGCACACAGGCAAAATTGGAGATGTCCTGTACAACCAACACACACACACACACACACAAACACACACACACACACAGCCTCATTTCCTCTCCTTGCCCCTCTCAGGTGCTTGACGCCCTGCCTGATGAGCTGGGCCACTACGAGGTCAGGCTCAACCACAGGTCAGGGGGGCACAGGAACAAGGGAGGTGCAAGGGCTTGACACGGGGGTTTGCCCTTTATTTTTAGCAGCAGCAGCAGGAACAGCAGCAGCAGCAGGAAGGGCTTGGGGAAGGGCTTTGATGAAGGGGCTTGCAAAGGGGGAGATGGAGGAGAGGGGTAGAGGGTGGTTTGTGAGGGTCCCACGCGGGAGACACAGTGAAGTCCTGTCATCTCTTTGCCGGGGTCCAAATGTTTGGTCTTCGGTCAAAACGCCGCCGGCGCCCGTCGGCGCACGGCGCGGGGTCCTCAGCGGCTGTGCGCCACGTGTCTTCATGGCGCTTCAAAATCCCCTGAGACACCAGGCTCGGCCGCCTTCCTGGACCCGCCAGCCTGCTCGCGCACAAGCCAAAGAAGCCCCTCCCCCCCTGCCGTGAAGCTCCCTCCTACCGTGCGCTACCGTCGAGCCCCAATCACACTGAGGAGACTTGCCCCTGAACCCTGAACCCTGGAATGCCAACCCTAAACCCCAGGGTCATCCGCCAGGCCGCCATCGCCGCCCTGGCTGTCCCCCGGGAGACCCTCCCCTCCGCGCTCCTCCTCCTCGGCACCGCCGCCCCCGCGTCCCCCGCCCACCCCGATGCCCGCGCCAAGCTGTGGCCCTCCATACGCGCGGGGCTGGACGGGCTGGGGCTCGATTCGGAGCCGGTCAGCCGCTGCCGCCGCTGCGTGCTGCAAGTGCCCGGCACCCTCCCAGAGGCGCTGCCGCGGCTGCGGTCATTCCTACGGGAGTGCGCCCCGCCCTCAAAGGCGGCCGGCGGCGGCGGCGGCGGCGGCGGCGGAGGGGCCGGCGGCGGCAGCGCGGCGGTGAGGGTGCCGGGGCCGGCGGCGTGGGGGGCGGCGATGGACGAGCTGTCTACGCTGGCTGGGCACCTGGCTGTGTGGGGGCTGTCCGACGTCCAGGTGGGCGGCTTATAGCTAAGGGCAGTGATGCAGTGGGCCTTGCGATGCTCAAGAACTGGGACTGGCGACCTTGTGGGGTATGCCGTGGGGGAGGCATTGCCCTTTCACCATGCCAGCCATGCCCCTTGACCCTGTGGGGCTTCTGCTCCGGCCCAAAATCTGCGCCCTGCGCAATTCTTTGCCTCGCCAAAATGGCTTCACGCCGTGCTGGACTCCCACCCTGCCCGTGATGTCACGTGACGTCACCAGGTGCTGCTGGACCCGCTGCTGGCCCCCCTGGGGGACTACTTCAATGGGGCCCTCTTCCAGGTGGGTGCATCACTGCACATTATTGAGGGTTCAGGTGTCAGGGTCTGTCATGGCAGTCTGTCATGAACTGCACGACCGTTAAGTTTCAGGCGGCAGGTGGATATGTTGTATCCTATTCGAAAAGAGAACGCTAGTGCACCCGCCTTCGCGCACCCTTCTTCGTGCACCCTCCTTGCTTACAATCTCCCCAGCTGCCAGACGTGTGGGCCCCCCTTCCTCCCTCCCTGAATCAGGTGCACCTCGTGTCCCCGGCAAGCGGGCTCTCATCCCAGGTGGCGGCCGGCGGCCGCTACGACGCGCTCGTACGGTGAGGCTTTGCTTGCTTTGCTTTCCTTCTGCCACTTTCTTGTGTGGATCGGCTGGTATCTAACAGCTGCAATGGTTGAGCGATAGAGGGTGTGGATGCTGTGGCACGCACACTAGGGATGGAAGCATGTGGATTGGGCGCTGTGCGCGGCCGACAGCGGGCGGTCGGCACGACATGCAGCAACGATGGGCCCGCACTTGGGGAGGGCTTACCTGCGCTTCCCTTTTCAATGGTGAATCCTGCCCAGCGCAGCAACGCTGCCCCCTGTAGCGCATCACTTTGATCTTCACTTGCGTTGTTTCATGAGCCTGGACCACAGCGAATCCGGGTGACGCCGTCCTGCTTCCTGATCTTTCTGCTTTCAAACTGATTAATTTCGTTCTGTAACCCCGGCAGGTCCCTTTGGTCTCCGGCTGCGCTGGCGCTGGGGCCGCCGCCCGGGGCGGTTGGGGCCACACTGAACCTCGAGCGCCTCGTGAAGCTGGTGTCGCAGGCGAGTGACGCCGGTGACTCACCGGTGGATCACTGGTGACACATTTGACGCCATTTACGCTGTTTGTTAGGCTTTACAGTACAGGAGCTTGCTTGGCGATGATTGCCAAGAGGCCAGCGGCATGGCAACCGCCGCTTGCCAGAGGTGGCTGCACAGGCTTGTCGTTTGTCTAGGGCGGCGTGCGCAGCCGTGGCGAACCAAGACTCCATTGCAAGGTGCTTACGTGACCCACTGTCAACACCCCGGGTCACATCTGCCGCCAACATTCCCACCATCCAATCACTCCTAACAGGCCCGGGCGCCGCAGCAGTGGGCGGACAGCGGTAGCGCGCGGTTCGGCGCGTCTGCGGCTGACGTCCTGGTCTGCTGCAAGGGCGGGGACGGACACCTACAGGTGCGGGCG